ACACACACACACACACACACACACACAGGTGTGCTGTGACCCTGCTGATGTAGCCAGGTTAAAAGAGATCCAGCCTCATTAAAAGGCACCTGGATTATCTCTCTCTCTTCAGTTGACCCGTCCTGTCTCAGGTGAGTCTTTTACTGGGCTGTTCTTTGTTGTGCGTGCAGGTGGACTTCCTGGCTGTAGAGATGCATGATGGGAAGGTGTCACTGCTCTGGGATCTGGGTTCAGGTAGCACCAGACTCGAGTTTCCTGCACTCGACATCAGCAACAACAGATGGACCAGAATCAATGTGACCAGGTAACAACACTATTCTGTCTTGATGATATCACTCATATGATCATATTATCATGTGATCATATTATCATGTGATCATATTATCATGTGATCATATTGTGGCTGGGCGAAATGTAGCAATAGCCAAAACGATTTGAGGATTTTTAAAAGAACAAACCATTTTGTAAAAACAATAAAAGACGCCACCCAGGTTTAAAGGAGCCCTAGGACTCCAGATTTCTAAGGTCTCACAGGCTCTAAAATCAGGGGTGATTAAAATATTTATTATAAAATAACCAGTAAAACACAGCTGTATATCTAAAAAGTCTTAAATCAGTTTCCCCCCAAGGTCGATTACTGTCTTTAAAACACGCGGTTTAAAAGACTGACCCTGTCACAATGTCATGATGTCATCATGTTTGTAGGTTTGGGGCACGCGGATCTCTATCAGTTCACCAGCTGGAGTCGGAGGCTGCTCCGTTGCTGGCAGTAACAGCAACCTCACCGGGACATTCCCGACTTTTAGACGTGAACAAAAACTCAGTGATCCACGTCGGAGGGAGGGGAACACAAACACAGGTAACATTCACACACACAAAAACACATATACACACACGCCCTTCATTCAAGAAAAGTCTAACTATACTGTGTGATGTCAGAGCCCCACCCTCCTGAGGTCCTCCACCTTTCAGGGATGTGTAGGTGAAGCATTTTTGAATGAGAGGAACGTCGGTCTGTGGAACTACGTCAGCAGGGAGGGAGGCTGTGGAGGCTGTTTCAGCAGGTATGGCAGGTGTTCACAGGTGAGGTTATCAAATCAGCCCACCTGCATGTTTTATAGTTGAGCTTCACACACAGATAAACCTCTCCTCTCTTTTTCTCTCTCTCACCTGTCTACCTCAGTCCTCAGGTGGAAGAGACATCATTCCACTTCGATGGTTCTGGATTTTCATTGGTTCAGAAATCTCTGCGAGCTACTTCCACCTCCATTGTTCTGCTTTTTAAAACTCTGTCACCGGGCGGATTACTGCTCTACCTGTCTTCCAACAACACGGTACGACACACACTCACACACAAACGTACACACACACATTTTTATTTGAGGTTGTTATTTTGAAGGAAACATATATCCTGCAGAGGGACTTCCTGTCGTTGGAGCTGTTGGGGGGCCGTGTCCATCTGACCTTTGACCTTGGTTCCGGTGCTCTGATCCTGACCTCCAACCGGAAGTACAACACCGGAGTGTGGTACAAGATCACACTGCAGAGGAGCAAACGCAAAGGTACCACAGTACGAAAGCTAAAAACTGTTGTTCTACAGTCAGACTAAAAACTGTTGTTCTACAGTCAGACTAAATATGGCTATACTAGAGTCGGACTAATTATGGCTATACTAGAGTCGGACTAAATACGGCTATACTACAGTCAGACTAAATATGGCTATACTAGAGTCGGACTAAATATGGCTATACTACAGTCAGACTAAATATGGCTTTACTGCAGTCAGACTAAAAACTGTTGTTCTACAGTCAGACTAAATACGGCTATACTACAGTCAGACTAAAAACTGTTGTTCTACAGTCAGACTAAATACGGCTATACTACAGTCAGACTAAAAACTGTTGTTCTACAGTCAGACTAAATACGGCTATACTACAGTCAGACCAAATATGGCTTTACTACAGTCAGACTAAAAACTGTTGTTCTACAGTCAGACTAAATATGGCTATACTAGAGTCGGACTAATTATGGCTATACTAGAGTCGGACTAAATATGGCTATACTACAGTCAGACTAAATATGGCTATACTACAGTCAGACTAAATATGGCTATACTAGAGTCAGACTAAATATGGCTATACTACAGTCAGACTAAATATGGCTTTACTGCAGTCAGACTAAAAACTGTTGTTCTACAGTCAGACCAAATATGGCTTTACTACAGTCAGACTAAAAACTGTTGTTCTACAGTCAGACTAAATACGGCTATACTACAGTCAGACCAAATATGGCTTTACTACAGTCAGACTAAAAACTGTTGTTCTACAGTCAGACTAAATATGGCTTTACTACAGTCAGACTAAAAACTGTTGTTCTACAGTCAGACTAAATATGGCTATACTACAGTCAGACTAAATATGGCTATACTAGAGCCAGACTAAATACGGCTATACTATAGTCAGATTAAAAACTGTTGTTCTACAGTCAGACTAAATATGGCTATACTAAAGTCAGACTAAATACGGCTATACTACAGTCAGACCAAATATGGCTTTACTACAGTCAGACTAAATACGGCTATACTAGAGTCAGACCAAATATGGCTTTACTACAGTCAGACTAAAAACTGTTGTTCTACAGTCAGACTAAATACGGCTATATTACAGCCAGACTAAATATGGCTTTACTACAGTCAGACTAAAAACTGTTGTTCTCCAGTCAGACTAAATACGGCTATACTACAGCCAGACTAAATATGGCTTTACTACAGTCAGACTAAAAACTGTTGTTCTACAGTCAGACTAAATACGGCTATACTACAGTCAGACTAAATATGGCTTTACTACAGTCAGACTAAAAACTGTTGTTCTCCAGTCAGACTAAATACGGCTATACTACAGCCAGACTAAATATGGCTTTACTACAGTCAGACTAAATATGGCTATACTACAGTCAGTGTAAATACAACTCTACTACAGTCAGACTAAATATGGCTATACTAGAGCCAGACTAAATACGGCTATACTATAGTCAGACTAAAAACTGTTGTTCTACAGTCAGACTAAATATGGCTATACTAAAGTCAGACTAAATACGGCTATACTACAGTCAGACTAAATACGGCTATACTACAGTCAGACTAAATACAACTCTACTACAGTCAGAATAAATACGGCTCTACTAGAGTCAGACTTAAAAATTTTGTTCTACAGTCAGACAAATTATGGCTATGCTACGGTCAGACTACAACTGCTGTACTACAGTCAGACTAAATATGGCTATACTACAGTCAGACTAAATACAGCTATAGTATAGAGTCAGACTTAAAACTTTCGTTCTACAGTCAGACTACAACTGTTGTACTACAACAATGAATACTACTGTGCTACAGACAGTACTACAACTCAGTAGTACATATAATATATATATTATCGAAAAAATGATAGATACTAAATATTGTAGTACTTAAACTGTTAATAAATATATACTGTATATTGTAGTACTATTAATGAGTATATACTGTATATTGTAGTACTTTTAATGAGTATACTGTATATTGTAGTACTGTTAATGAATATATACTGTATATTGTAGTACTGTTAATGAGTATATACTGTATATTGTAGTACTTTTAATGAGTATACTGTATATAGTAGTACTGTTAATGAGTATATACTGTATATTGTAGTACTATTAATGAGTATACTGTATATTGTAGTACTGTTAATGAGTATATACTGTATATTGTAATACTGTTAATGAGTATACTGTATATTGTAGTACTGTTAATAAGTATATACTGTATATTGTAGTACTTTAACTGTTAATGTGTTCAGTATATTGAAGTAGCATGAGTACTGTAGCTGAAGTTGCTGATGTGTTTGCAGGTTACCTTTCAATCATGGCAGCTGACCAATCTTCAGAGAAGGAGGTTTTGGAGGCGGAGTCTCCTGGAACCGCGTCTGACCTGAACAGGTCCGATCTGGACCCCATCTACATAGGAGGACTTCCTGCCTCCAGACCAATCAGGTGAGTCTGTTGTGTCAGCTGGTAAGTGTGGTGATGTCACAGGTCATGTGACTAACTATTTCTGTATATTTGGTTGCTAGGCGACAGGTGGTGTCTAGGTCTTATGTGGGCTGTATCAAGAACGTAGAGATTGCTCGCTCCAACTTTGACCTACTGAGAGACGCCTATGGCGTGAGGAAGGGCTGTGTACTCGAGGTACTACACAACATATAAACACAACATACACACAGTACAAGTACACACTACGTAACACAACATACACACAGTACAAGTACACACTACATAACAAAACATACACACAGTACGAGTACACACTACATAACACAACATAACACAACTTACACACAGTACAAGTACACACTATGTAACAACATACACACAGTACAAGTACACACTACGTAACACAACTTACACACTGGCACAAGTACACACTACATAACAAAACATACACACAGTACAAGTACACACAACATAACACAACTTACACACAGTACAAGTACACACTACGTAACACAACATACACACAGTACAAGTACACACTACATAACACAACATACACACAGTACAAGTACACACTACATAACAAAACATACACACAGTACAAGTACACACAACATAACACAACTTACACACAGTACAAGTACACACTACGTAACACAACTTACACACAGTACAAGTACACACTACGTAACACAACATACACACAGTACAAGTACACACTACATAACAAAACATACACACAGTACAAGTACACACAACATAACACAACTTACACACAGTACAAGTACACACTACGTAACACAACATACAAAGAGTACAAGTACACACAACATAACACAACTTACACACAGTACAAGTACACACTACATAACACAACATACACACAGTACAAGTACACACTACATAACACAACATACACACAGTACAAGTACACACTACGTAACACAACATACACACAGTACAAGTACACACTACGTAACAAAACATACACACAGTACAAGTACACACTATGTAACACAACATACACACAGTACAAGTACACACTACGTAACAAAACATACACACAGTACAAGTACACACAACATAACACAACATACACACAGTACAAGTGCACACTACGTAACACAACATACACACAGTACAAGTACACACTACGTAACACAACTTACACACAGTACCAGTGCACACTACGTAACACAACATACACACAGTACAAGTACACACAACATAACACAACATACACACAGTACAAGTACACACTATGTAACACAACATACACACAGTACAAGTACACACTACGTAACAAAACATACACACAGTACAAGTACACACAACATAACACAACATACACACAGTACAAGTGCACACTACGTAACACAACATACACACAGTACAAGTACACACTACGTAACACAACTTACACACAGTACCAGTGCACACTACGTAACACAACATACACACAGTACAAGTACACACAACATAACACAACATACACACAGTACAAGTACACACTACGTAACACAACTTACACACAGTACAAGTGCACACTACGTAACACAACATACACACAGTACAAGTGCACACTACGTAACACAACATAATAGACCAATAATCAGAGCGTACTGATCTCTGTTATGAGGAGTAACCATCACGTGTTTCAGGCGGTGAGGAGTGTTTCTCTGCTGGCCAGCGGCTTCGTTCAGATTGCTAATCGATCACTTGGTCAGGAAGCGGAGCTTCTCTTCTCCTTTTCATCCAACAACCAATCAGGAGTCCTGCTGGCAGCCCTAAGTGCCACACACAAACAGGTGAGACAGATGAAGCTCAGCTATTTCCTCCTTTGACCCTCATCAGCGTCCTGTTCTCAGCTGTGTCAATTCATTGATGTCAACAGACAAACAACAACAATCTGCTTATCATAAACAAACAACAACAACAATCTGTTTATCATAATCAAACAGCAACAACAATCTGTTTATAATAATCAAACAACAACAATCTATTTATCATAAACAAACAACAACAACAATCTGTTCATAATAATCAAACAACAACAATCTATTTATGATAAACAGAAAACAACAATCTGTTTATCATAAACAAACAACAAAAATCTGTTTATCATAATCAAACAACAACAATCTGTTTATCATATTCAAACAACAACAACAATCTGTTTAACATAAACAAACAACAACAATCTGTTTATCAGAATCCAACAACAACAATCTGCTTATCATAAAAAACAACAACAATCTGTTTATCATTAACAAACAACAACAATCTGTTTATCATACACAAACAACAACAATCTGTTTATCATAAAAAAACAACAACAGTCTGTTTATCATAATCAAACAACAACAATCTGTTTATCATAAACAAACAACAACAACAATCTATTTATCATAAACAAACAACAACAACAATCTGTTTATAATAATCAAACAACAACAATCTGTTTAACATAAAAAAACAACAATAACAATCTGTTTATCATAAACAAACAACAAACAACCCTAACCCCTAACCCAATAACAACAATCTGCTTATCATAAAAAAAACAACAATCTGTTTATCATTAACAAACAACAACAATCTATTTATCATACACAAACAACAACAATCTGTTTATCATAAAAAACAACAACAATCTGTTTATCATAATCAAACAACAACAATCTGTTTATCATAAAAAACAACAACAATCTGTTTATCATAATCAAACAACAACAATCTGTTTATCATGAACAAACAACAACAATCTGTTTATCATAATCAAACAACAACAACAATTCTGTTTATCATAAACAAACATCTGTTTATCACAAACAAACAACAACAATCTGTTTATCATGAACAAACAACAACAATCTGTTTATCATAAACAAACTACAACAACAATCTGTTCATCTTAAACAAACAACAACAACAACCTGTTTATATACATGTTTACTGTAAGAAAAATATTATCATGGTGTGTACATGTGTGTTCCTGTGTGTGTTTCTGTGTGTGTGTAGCACTTCCTGTCCGTCCACCTGGTCTCTGGCCGTTTGGAGGCGGAGCTTGGGGAGGTGGGCGTGGAGAGTAGGAGCGTGACAGTTTTTAAACCAGATGGAACATCATTCAGCGACGGAAAGAAACACTCTGTGATTATCACCATCAACAGAAAGTAGGTCTCACCTGTCTCACCTGTTTTATTTGTCTCATCTGTCTAAACTGTCTCACCTGTCTAAACTGTCTCATATGTCTAAACTGTCTCATATGTCAAAACTGTCTCACCTGTCTAAACTGTCTCATCTGTCTAAACTGTCTCACCTGTCTAAACTGTCTCATCTGTCTAAACTGTCTCACCTGTCTAAACTGTCTCATCTGTCTAAACTGTCTCACCTGTCTAAACTGTCTCACCTGTCTAAACTGTCTCATCTGTCTAAACTGTCTCACCTGTCTAAACTGTCTCATCTGTCTCACCTGTCTCATCTGTCTAAACTGTCTCACCTGTCTCATCTGTCTCATCTGTCTAAACTGTCTCATCTGTCTAAACTGTCTCACCTGTCTCACCTGTCTCATCTGTCTAAACTGTCTTACCTGTCTTAACTGGCTCACCTGGCTAACGTGTCCCACTTTTTCAGTGAAAAACTGATGTTGTGATGTTGTCTGTCTATCAGATCTCTGTCCCTGCAGGTGGATGAAGAACACATTAAGACCGTCTCCCTGTTGCCGGGCGGATTCTCACGTCTGTCTCCAGCCTCCTTTTTCATTGGTGGGATTCCATTAGAGGAGGAGTCTCGTCTGCCAATCAGATTACAGGAGTTGTCCAGGTGGTTCAGAGGCTGCATTCAACACTTCGTGGTGGGCGGCTTGTAAGTCACAAACAAACAATCAAACAAACAATCAAACAAACAAACACACACACACACAGTAACTGTTTTAATTGGCTTTCCCTTAGACTCGTTGACCTGTCAGAGGCTGTGAGGTATGAAGGGGCGGAGCTTGACAGCTGTCTGTTGGAGTACAGAGTCAGGGGGGCAGTTCTTCCTGATGACACCGATGTACAACCAACCTCTGATCCCGCCCAACTGCCTTCAACGCCGCCCACACACCTGAGTGCCTTCACACCTGGAGTGCTTACGGTAATCGATCCGTAAATCATAAATTTGATGAGATTTCTGTTAACATCATTAATATGTTGGAACAGGTTATTGAGTGATCTGTCAGCTGTTGGTAATGATCACTAATCATTGATATACATTTCTTTATCATATTAAAAAATGTAAAATACACTTATGAATCATCTGTTCCTTCTCCTCCCCATACACTCTGCTCACGCCAGACATGTTTAAAACAAGGAACAAGGAAAGGGTGCTGCCTTTAACCCTAACCCATATGCAGAGAGGGAGTGGAAAACAAAGTGTCATTATATGCAGATGATTCCATCATGTCTGTCCTGACAGAGTGTGGCCAGATATCTCGTTACAAACTAAACTTGTCAAAAGCAGAATTCACATTTCCATTCCAATGAATTGATTGAACTATTCAGGGCTGTAACAAGGAGTATTTCCAGAGGGATGTGAAGCAGCAACTAAAGCTTGAAAAACAGAGGTTAACAAAGTTTGGCTCATCTAATGAATATGAGCGATCATGGAAACCATTTATAGACTCAACGCTCCACCACGTTGATGTAAACACCCAAAGGGGTTCAGTGATGCTTTAACAGTAGCTCATCACTGAAGGTGTTGATCTGATTTGATTGTTTCTTTAAAAAGAAAAATCTATCAAAATATGTTTGAATAAATACTAACATGAGTCTGATTATTTCTGATTGGTCTGTGGTTAACAGTGTGCAACAGAGGCGGAGCCTACCTTTCTACCATCAGGGGCACAATTTGGTTTTTCTAAACACAGTCACATGACCTTCATCATTAACCCCAGCAGAGTCAGACGGAGGTGAGTTTCCATGTTGCAGCAATTTATGTTAGAGGGCTGTGGTAAATGTGGGCGGGGCTTTACAGAGATAACGTGTAATTGTACTGACTGTGTGTGTGTGTGTGTGTGTGTGTGTGTGTGTGTGTGTGTGTGTGTGTGTTTGTTGGTTATTAGTCTGTCAGTGAGGTTGTCGGTTCGAACCCGAGTCTTGGAGGGGCTGATCTTCCTCCTTTCTGACGCCAAACAGAATGATTTCATCATCCTCAGACTGACAGGGGGCCGGCTTATCATGTCAGCTGACCTGGGGAAAGGCCCCGCCTCCATCACCTCGTCCGTCTCAATAAACGATGGAGAGTGGCACACTGTGAGTTTTATCATTTCCCACAAACACACACACACACACCACACGCACACACGCACACACACCACGCACACGCACACGCACACGCACACACGCGCACACGCACACGCACACACACGCACGCGCACGCACGCACGCGCACGCGCACACACGCACGCACGCACACACGCACACGCACACACACACACACAACCACACACACACACACATGATAGGTGAATTGTTGATCCTCAGGTGATATAACAGGTGAATTGTTGATCCTCAGGTGATATAACAGGTGAATTGTTGATCCTCAGGTGATATAACAGGTGAATTGTTGATCCTCAGGTGAATGCTGAACTGGGCCGGCGGTCTCTGTCTGTCTCTGTGGGCGATTCGAATCCAGACTCAGTGTCAGTTAAAGGAAACCAGTTGGACGTGGACGAGCGACTTTACCTGGGTGGACTCCCTCACACACACACGTCGAGGAGGATCAATGTATGACCTTTATGACCCACCAATCCCCTTTGTTGTTTACTTCCTGTTTAAGACTGTGTCCTTTTCTGCCCTCATCTTTGTCTCTCAGGTGAGCAGCAGTTTTCCAGGTTGCGTGCGTTCCTTCACTTTAAATGGAGCCATATTGGATCTGTCCAAACCGCACTCTCAGCATGATGTCACTTCCTGTTTTACCCATGACCAGACAGGAAGTTACTTTAATGGCAGCGGATATGCCGCCCTCAGTGAGTCGAACATAAAAACACAAAATAAATCTTCTATGTGTAATCACCTGATCAAATGATTAAACTCTGTGTGTGTGTGTGTGTGTGTGTGTGTGTGTGTGTGTGTGTGTGTCAGTGCGTGATGGCTTTAAGGTCGGCTCAGATCTCTCTGTGAATCTTGAGTTTCGAACGAGCCAATCAGAAGGAGTCTTTCTGGGAATCAGTAGCGCCAAAGTCGACGCCATTGGACTGGAGATGATCAACGGACAGGTGAGTCATTGTTTATGTTTGTAAAACAGATGTAAACATTATTCTTCATGTATAGATGAAACTCTTTAAACGTTTGTTTATGTTTGTTTATGTTTGTTTCTTCAGATGGTGTTTAACGTAAATAATGGGGCGGGGCGAGTGCTCGTACGTTCCATTGGTCACCTGTTGTGTGATGGACGCTGGCACCGCCTGCAGGCCAGAAAAACCAAACACACCCTGAGTCTGAGTGTCGATGGGCGGAGCTACACGACCGCCAACCCATACCCACAATCCACCTCTGCTGAGACCAACAACCCGGTTTACCTGGGAGGGTATCCAGGTGAGACGGATCTCTGATCATTTCACAAACATGAAGACAGGTGTTACTGAAACTCACCTACCTGTCTGTCTCTCTCTGTACCTGTCTGTCTCTCTCTGTACCTGTCTCACTCTCTGTACCTGTCTCTCTCTGTACCTGTCTGTCTCTCTCTGTACCTGTCTCTCTCTGGACCTGTCTAACTCTCTCTGGACCTGTCTGTCTCTCTGTGTACCTGTCTCTCTCTATACCTGTCTCACACTCTGTACCTGTCTGTCTCTCTGTAGCTCTCTGTCTCTCAGTGGGGGTGAAACAGAACTGCCTGTCGATCAGCTCCAGGTTCAGAGGATGTCTGAGGAACCTGCAGATTGTGAAGTCTCATCCTGGTGACTTCTTGGACCTGAGCTCCGCCCACTTCCAGTTGGGCATCACTCCTAACTCATGTCCTGTTGCCTAGTGACGCAGGTCCCTGCTCCGATTGGACAACAGAAACCTACAGTCTTCATAAACTGTGTCTAACCCTGACATTTTCAAATGAGAATTCTAATTTTGTTGTTGCCTATGGAGAGTCATTAAAGATGAATCATTAAAGAAGAGTCATTAAAGATGAATCATTAAAGAAGAGTCATTAAAGATGAATCATTAAAGAAGAGTCATAAAAGATGAATCATTAAAGAAGAGTCATTAAAGATGAATCATTGGGGCACGCTGGTGGTGCAATGGTTAGGGTGCGCGTCCCATGTGTTGAGACTCTCGTCTCGAGCGGTAGGCCCGGGTTCGCTTTCACCCGTGGCCTCTTTCCACATGTCATTCCCCGCTCTCTCTCCCTGGTTTCTGACTCTATCCACTGTCCTCTCTCTCTCTCTGGTTTCTGACTCTATCCACTGTCCTCTCTCTCTCCCTGGTTTCTGACTCTATCCACTGTCCTCTCTCTCTCTCTGGTTTCAGACTCTATCCACTGTCCTCTCTCTCTCCCTGGTTTCTGACTCTATCCACTGTCCTCTCTCTCTCTCTGGTTTCTGACTCTATCCACTGTCCTCTCTCTCTCCCTGGTTTCTGACTCTATCCACTGTCCTCTCTCTCTCTCTGGTTTCAGACTATACTGTCCTCTCTCTCTCTCTCTGGTTTCAGACTCTATCCACTGTCCTCTCTCTCCCTGGTTTCTGACTCTATCCACTGTCTCTCTCTCTCTGGTTTCAGACTCTATCCACTGTCCTCTCTCTCTCCCTGGTTTCTGACTCTATCTATCACTGTCCTCTCTCTCTCTCTGGTTTCAGACTCTATCCATGTCCTCTCTCTCTCTCTGGTTTCAGACTCTATCCACTGTCTCTCTCTCTCTCTGGTTTCAGACTATCCACTGTC